TACAAAAAAACCTGATTGTCGTGGGTAGTGCGAGCGATGTGTCACTCGACACAGGCAATACTCCGTTGGAAACGATGGCCAAAGATCTGAAGGGTAGTTGGGATTTTGAGACCGAAAAGGCCGTTTCCCCGTCGTAGAGTACAGCCCCCACCGTGGTCCTGTATAGAAGTGCTTTAAGTAAACCTGGGGGCACATTCTGATGCCAGATGTGTTAAAAAACGCAACGTGTTTACTAACGTTGCTGCTAATGCAGCTGCCAGCGTGAGTTGATCAGTTCTCTCCAGTGCCTCGTGCCTAAAAATTAGAGCTATGAAGTAGATCGTGATCATGCAATAGCGGTTGGCAATTTAATGGTACAAAAGGTGCGCCAAAGAATGAAACCAAATAGGTGAGTTTAAGTTTACTAGTTGCGGCCTACGATGTTGTCCCAGTTGTCCAAGACAACCAGTTTTCCTTCAGGGAGTTACCAATGTTCACATGGGAATTACCTCTCTGAGAAAGGAGGCACACTAAACGAGAGTCCAAATATAGTCCTTTACTCAAAAGTTCGGGTAACGAGAAAACGAAAGAGGTGAGGATTTGTTTAAGGATTTTGACTACGGACTCCGAATACATGCTATACTATATAAGACACAGAGGGAATATTACGTTGCAGATACTCAGAGAAAGCGCATTCGAAAATGCAAAGGCAGTCATGCTTGTAGCTAACTTCACATCGTCTGTACCGCTTCGAAACATCATACTTAATATCGCTCCGTTTTTCAAGATGTTCGGGAAAGACAAAAACAAGATGCTAGGACACAAGTGTGCATAGAGAACTTTCCTATTCAGCCAACATTAGATGAAGTAGATAAGTGCCGAAACCTTCCAAATACTCGAAAATAAATTTAAACTTGTATTACGCGTGAATACGCAGAAAACATAAGCTAAAGAAGCCTGCAACGATCTCGTCCAGAAAAAGTCCCAATACTGCTATCTGCATGAATGTTATCATTGGATATCGAGCCGTAGGAAGTGACACATTCAGTGAAGAATGGATACCCCAAAAATTCGCAGCATATGAGATAGCAGCAGCACTGGGTGATGATACACTGTCTACAGTGAAGGAAAACGAATGTAACTAAGACAGGCGGGGATCAATGCAGTACCAGCAAAAGACGTGAAGACAGACGGAGTTCACATTACAACATGCCAGCTGAGCATTCGGTCTACAGAAAAGAACGTAGATCGTGAAGGATGACTAAAAGGGAAGACGCACAAGTTTAAAATGAGTTGAAACACTGATAGCTGGGGTTGATGATTCCGGGTTGCACGTCCTGGCTGAACTTGGTGGTTGGGTTGTAAACATTTCATCACCAAACAAATTCACTCCCTTGATACCAGATCGACGACTAACTCAGCGACACTGCACTCGACACAATAACGCATTGAGCAAGTCATCTTGTTCGGTGATGAAACGTTTGCAACCCAGTGACCAAGCTCGATGAGCACGTGAAACCCACAGTTTAAGCATCATTTGACCATTCCACCAATCCAACTGGGTCTAAACCATCTCATGCGCAGTGCGAAGCTGACAAGCAATGTCAAACATGGTTGGCGGCATCCGGTTTCGGATTTGCCTGTCACTGTGGCAAGCCACAGGATGCCTGCGCCTACAGAGGGACCATGGGTGGCTTGCGCTGCACCACTCACAGCTCCAACCACATGCCCCATAGCCAGTGTAAACTCGAAGGAATAAGACCGGGAGGCATGCGGATGGGAGCCACGTTTCATCAACGGAGCCGGCCCACACTCCTTCACAGGCAAACACAAGCACACTGTATTTGGGAATCAAGCGCACACAAGGCGGTGGCTGGACTGTAGTCCGCTCCACACTGAGTGCATGGAACCACTCTTTGAGCCTAGCACGACCACAAGGACCGTGCATCCCGTCCCCTCCAGCAACGACCAGCTGTCTCCTGGAGCCAGTATGGACGAGGTAGTGGGTAATAGACAGGTAGGCACCTTGTCAACATACACATCAAGCGCAACCACACCGGGGATATCAAGCAACAGCCAATCACCTGGAACGACAAGATGAAATAAAACAAATACAATAATGCATACAGATACGGTGGCATAACACTTTGCTAAATTAGCATATGAAGTAAGTTGGTTAGCAACGAATCCGCGATAAGGATAAAATGTCCGCAAGTTAGTTAAAAATGCTACAAACGCAACAAAGTTACCGAACATAAGCCCAAATAATGTAAGCAACGTGGCCAGTTAATAGAAGAGTATTCAGGTAGGCAGAACAAACCAAATAAAGTGGAATGAAATTTAGCCAGCTTAAAAAGACCTAGTTTAAGTGTAAGTTGGTTTAGCCCAACTGCGGTGAAGAAGCATCAAGAATGCAACATCAGCCTCAGCATGTCAAACATAGCCTTGTTGTTACACAGCGATAGTTTCAGTAACTCAAGCGACAGTTTGGTTAAGCATGTGCAGTATTGATCAATGAGCTAGGCCGGTGAATGGTGGGATGCGGCGACCATATCAATACAGCGCATACGGTGCAGACATCACGGTTCCAATCAATTGGGTGTAGGCTTTCCAAAAATAAACTATCTCAAACGCTGTGTAGCTAAAGGAAATTTAAGCGCGTGCACTTCACATACACCGATGCGACACAAACTGTTAAGCGAGAAATATTTCAAAAGTGTAAGAACAGACAACATTTCAGTGGGATAACTTGAATTCAGTGTATTTCGAGTGTTCTTATTTAGCCGCTTGCATACTATTAGTGAAAAATTCAATCAAAAGGGAATGCCGAGTAATCAACGCTAGGAGTCGATAATTAGCAGTTAGTGTGTCTATTGGGAGAATCATGCACCCTACGCTGAATTCAGGTTATCCAGCTGGAATGTTATGTTGTATCGCCATTTTGAAGCTCTTGGAGAGAAATAGTTGCAAGAAACATTTGTAAGATGGCAGCGACGAATGGGAAGGGCGGCCAACACATTGTGGTCGATAGCCAACTGTCATGTTGTGTTGATAAACAGAGGTAATAAATGATGAAAGACAATCTCATATCAGGCTTCGCATACGTTGCAATGTCACATGATGTGGCGTAGTGACGCGAGAGCGAGTGAAAACGGATAACAGAGATTAGGTCAGATAGAATTCATCACAACCAAACGAGCTTTGCTGACCGACAATATGAGAATTTTTGAAGGTTTCGATGACGTCGTGTGACTGCACGCAATGTACCTATGCGTGCACGTGTCACAACAAACAATGGTATGCATATCGATTCGCAATGACGCTATCACTCGGCTCTTGTATGCCCTAAAGTTAAGGCCGCAGGATGCACATATGCAGGAGTAACATGCCGAAAACAGGCTGATAGAAAGCCGTCGAAAATGCAGGAAAAAAACGGAACGATTCCCTTTCTGTTCTCGGAAGGACAGCACAACAAATAAATGTAATGAAAAGGTCAGAGGTATCACGGGTACACCAGCGCTCTGCCCGGAGAGTTTGAAGCTGTGGGACCACGAGCTGGCACACACAGCCGCCCAAGCAAATGCATGAGCACAGATTGGAATCAGCGGCGTGGGGGCTGCAAGCCAAACAACTTAACCGCTATGCATCACGGATCCCCGTGAGTCGCAAAATACAGACGCGTTGTAGTGCGTTGTTTCAGGCCAGGCGAGCACTAGTCATGCCTACTCGCTGAATAATGGTCATCTAATCTTATTAGTTAGTCAACAACCGAAAATGAACAGCTATGTAGTGATTATTGATGCGTCATAAAGGTTCATTATTTTCATCAATTCTATCACGGCATTCCTTTTACATTTTGTTTGAAAAGATAAAGAAATGCGGATTCAGTTCTTCGACCTCGCAGTCACGTCGTGCTCGATTTTAAGTGGCAATGTTACTGCGTTTATACGCAGTGAACCAGTTTACCTGCAAATCGGATATTAGACATGGGATTACAATTGAACTTCTGGTTTCCTTGCGTTTGACGTGTACGTAATTGAAACCTAAACATTATTTGACTGTAATTCGGTTTTCCATGAGGTTTTGCATTGCCTAACGTACCTCTCAGATCACTAGAGCAACATGAAAACGATATGCATATTTTACTTGCCGTTTCTCAGTGAAAATGATAATGTCTTTAGGCTGATGATGGCTTTCTCTCGCATCAGTGATCTAGGAAATACTCGAACCACATAGAGAGGAAAGCTGTCAGATTTTCCTTACGTGTACCAAAATCCTCACGATCTTGTGTTTCTGCGAAATATGGACGGATAATGTAAACAAGTTGAGGGTAACACACTGGTGAAGGAGATTGATCAGATAGCTCGTGGTTAGTTTTCCTGCCTAGCCCATTTTTATGGAGTGTCACACGGCTATTTTAGCCGCGCAGAGAAATGCGATCAAAAATATCAGTAAAAATATGTGTAACACCTGAAAATGATGCGCCACGTGGAATCGCTAAAAGGTGGCTTGTAGGTGCCCTGACAGAGAGGGATAAAAAGCCGCAGTAACTTCCGACTACAATTGGAGCGTGAGCTATATCGACCACGTTCAGTGGGTTGAGAGGTGAACCAAAGCACCTTTTTACAGCCTACCACAAGTCCACAACCATGCGTCGGCGGTAAAACGATTTAATGAACGAATCCATCACTAAAACTCGACGTCGCAATAAATGGAATGAAAATCTATTTATTATATAAATATGTGCACTCGAGTTCATTCTATGAAAAACCGTGGTGTCAGCATAGAACAACGCAGATGCAAGCATTAGTTGATTGTGACATCAAGTATGGACGCCGTGGGAAGGCAGCATAACACAAATCCATGGCGAACTCAACTGACTGGGCATTAGGGTCGCGAACGGAAAGTTAACAATGGTAGTCGATTTCTCAAAGGATATTCATATACGATGGAAACAATTGTGTAACGGATACCAAGACATGTAGTGAATAATGTTGTGATGCTAAACAACCGGGACTTACCGCTATCTTGGTTGAATCCAACAAACAAAATGCCACTGTTACCCGAGTCAGCTGGAGAAATCCTCATGCACATAGCAAAGAGAATGTGGCATTAACGAGGCAATAAGCTTTCAACAGGACTGAAAAGTGGAGCAAACGGGTAGCTGGTAAGCATGACATCCGACAACAAAATGGAGCGATCAATTCTGTTGTAAGTCGCGAAAAAACATGGTGACATGAACAAGAACAGAGTGCGTATCGTGTAAAGTCAAGAAAGTGCTTTATGCACCCAGAATGAGTGAAGATGCAGCTAGAACATACACGTTTTCAGCGGTACAGCATGAAATTCTAAAAGTGCATAAATAATTGTAGAAGAATAACACCATGGTAGCATAAACCGGTTTGTTAATTCTTGAACGACATTGTTGTGGTCTAGTAAAAATAGAGTTAGGTAGGGGGTAATTGACGAACGGTACGTTCGTGTATGGGCATATATGGATTTGTACTTCTGTATGGTTGACGAGGTTGGAACACATTCAGACAATACAGAATGGAGGGGGTAACTTGTGTCAACAAGTACTGTTGATGCTAGTCTCTTGCAATAAGCAACATGAGTGGATACAAGTATATCAGCGAACGTCAGCTTCGATACACCATTGCATCGCAACAAGTGTTTTAACGACCTGGAGATTAATTTAAAGTCTTTGCTCAATAGACCAGGAAAAATTACTGGTGAGCAGTACATCCAGTGTGGAAGAACACAAGCGGTGACAAAGCGAAGTGTCTAATAATGGGGGACAGAGGAAGCTAGCGGGCGTGAGGCACAGAACAATAAGCTCCGGACTTTTGCGAACGTTTCTTTTACATAGTGTGACCAAGGTAAATCGTAGCTCAGTACTTTACCAATGTGGGAGAGTGAAACCTCTCTTCATCGATGTTGAGTTCAAGGCATTGCTGAAGAAACTGTTGATATCGATTGTCGCTGTGCAGTGAAAAATGATAGTATTGCATTTCCACACGTTGAGCGGCAGCTCGTGGGCCTTTGATCACGACTGCAATCTGACTGAAGAGGCAGTCATCGATTGATTAATGCCCAGGACAACGTCATTTGTGTTCTTCAGCAGGTTTGCCTCTCCTGGGGCGGGAATTAAGCGTACATAGTTTGAAAAAGAAATGGTGACAGAATAGCTCAATGGAAAGAACCCAGGAGTTTGTGACTAGGGGCGAGCAGCTTCTGCCTACAAATCGGGTAACCAGGGTACGACCGGTAAAATAATCTCCAGAAATTTGGACGACGGAAGGATGTATTCCAGCACCAAGGAGATAAGTAAGCAGTAATTCGCGGTTTACGCAGCCGAACGCGTTGCTGTAGCCTAAAAATCAGACTCGGGTGAACTTGATTCTGTTGCCCAAGATTCACAGAACCGAGTGTACGAAGCAGGATGCTGCGTCTTGGGTTGGCCCCGAACTGCCGTAGGTAAATTGCAGAATCAGTTGAGTCCTGTCGTGTCAGCATCCTCACAGGAATTTGTTCACGATTAAGGATCTAAGGAAAATACTAGTCATTAGGCTGTGATGCAATGTAGGCTACGTAGGTAGCATAAAACTTCGATGAAAATAAAAGTTCAGGAAATAAAGGCGGGAAACTGAGAAATACAGTCTCACTGGAAGAAGTAAGCGAGCGTGAGTTACACTCTAACCGGCTGACTTATAATCGATAAAGCAAAATATCCATTTGCAAACATAGCTAGATCTATGGAAAAGAAGTTCGCCATTAACATACTTATTCCCATTGCTCGAAGTGTGCAAAGTTGTAACTGCCCGTTCATCATCAGCACAGCTATTCGAATCCGTTAGGGAGAATTAACGGGAGACAAGATGATCGATTAGAAAACAGTGGTTTAACTGACGACAACTAAATGCAGTCAGCAAACATAAGTTTACAAATTCAAAGTAAATAAGAACGTTGTAGAAATAAGGAAGCATATTGAAAAATATCACATTGCTAACCATACAACCCTGTCTTCGTGAACTATCTGGATAATGTTTCAAGAATAGAAGTCGGCTTTAGCCCGGAAGGGTTTATGTCGACCATATCCTAAAGCTTGCAAGCAACCTGATGTGGAAGCTTTTCCTAACTAAAATATAGGATTACCTGTGACTTGATTATTCGCGGTTTATAGCAGTAATGTCTATTTTGAATGCATCCCTGAAATCCGTATAAAATCTTCGCAATACTAAGGCGGTGTTATATATATATATATATATATATATATATATATATATATATATATATATATATATATATATATATATATATATATATATATATATATATATATATATATATATATATATATATGGTTGGCGGCATCCGGTTTCGGTTTCGCCTGTCACTGTGGCCAGTCACAGGACGCCTGCGCCTACAGAAGGACCATGGGTGGCTTGCGCTGCACCACCCACAGCTCCAACCACATACCACGTATGCAGTGTAAACCCGAAGGAATAAGACAGGGAGGCATGTGGATGGGAGCCACGTTTCATCAACGGAGCCGGCCCACACTTCCTCCCAGGCAAACACAAGCACGCCGTATTTGGGGAATCGAGTGCACACAAGGCGGTGTCTGGACCGTATTCCGCTCCACACTGAGTGCATGGAACCACTCTTTGGTCCTAACACGGCCATAAGGACCGTGCACCCGGTCCCCTCCAGCAACGACCAGCTGTCTCCTAGAGCCAGTATGGACAAGGTAGGCACCTTGTCAACATGTACATCAAGCGCAGCCACATCGGGGATATCAAGCAACAGCCAATCACTTGAGAGAAAGATAACAAAGAAAATAAATCGAGTAATGCGTAAGGAAACGGTGAGCATATGAAATGAGCATATGAAATAAGTTGTTTACAAAAGAATCCGAGATAAGTTCACGAGGCCAGAAGGTATATTCCATAGAAATGCCACAAAGACGAAAGTGTCATCGAAATTAACTACAACTGGCTTAAGCGACGTGTGCAAGTTTATAGAAGAGAGTACAGGTAGACAGTTATATGAGAAAGGAAAGCATTAGGACAAAATTGAAAACCCACCACCTGAAATAAATAGACTTAGCATGCAAGCACGCGGTTAGTAAATCGAATGCAGCGTGCCTACAAACGCTGCGTCTGTTTTCCCTACGTTCTCTGCAGGACCCGTCGTCGCTTCGGTAGTGGTCCCGAGTGGCCTCGCTCATGGCTCATGCTGAGGCTGATGTTGCATTCATGATGCTTCATCATCGCAGTTGGGCTAAACCAACTTACACTTAAACTAGGTCTTTTTAAGCTGGATAAATTTCATTCCAAGTTTAATGGGTTTGTTCTGCCTACCTGAATAATCTTCTGATAACTTGCACACGTTGCCTATGCCAATTGCGCTGAGGTTCGTCAACTTTATTGGGTTTGTAACATTTTTAAAGTAACTTTTGGACATTTTGCACTTATCGAGGATTCCTTTCGGACCAACTTACTTCCCATGCTAATTTAGCGATGAGTAATGTCACCGTATTTCTACGCATTATTGGATTTATTTTATTTCATCGTGTCAAGTGACTGGCCGTTGCTTGATATAACCGGTGTGGCTGCGCTTGATGTGCATGTTGACAAGGTGCCTACCTGTCTATTACCCACTACCTCGTTCATACTGGCTCTAGGAGACAGCTGGTCGTTGCTGGAGGGGACCGGGTGCAAGGTCCTTGTGGCCATGCTAGGCTCGAAGAGCGGTTCCATGCACTCCGTGTGGAGCAGAATACGGTCCAGCAACCGCCTTGTGTGCACTCGATTCCCCAAATACGGCGTGCTTGTGTTTGCCTGGGAGGGAGTGCGGGTCGGCTCCGTTGATGAAACGTGGCTCCCATCCACATGCCTCCCTGTCTTATTCCTTCGGGTTTACACTGCATACGTGGTATGTGGTTGGAGCTGTGGATGGTGCAGCGAAAGCCACCCATGGTCCTTGACGACATTGCCCTCATATGAGACAGCTCCCAAATGTCAGGCTGCACTGGACCGATTAGCACTGACTGTCAATCGTTTTGGGCTTGCTTTGCTCCATCGAAATGCACAGTTCTTCCCCAAAATAGGCGGGGACCCACCCCCACGCTAACGCTTTGTGGTGATCAGCTAGAAGTCGTTCAGTAATTCAAGTACCTGGGCAGCTATATTAGCGCCCATGAGATCGAAGATGAGGTTACGAACCATATAGCAAAAGCTCAAGGTGCTTTTACCAATCTCCGTCACTTGTGGCGCAGACGCGACATCACTGTCGCCCTGAAGGGCAGAGTGTATAACGCAGCCGTCCGTTCAACCCACTTATACGGTTGTGAAACCTGGCCTATTAGGTCGACAGACATAAAGAGGCTCGTCACATTCGATCATTGCTGCCTTGGCAGCTTAGCTCATGTCCGGTGGAAGCACCGCGTGAGCAATGAGCGTTTTCGACGTCGTGTATTTGGTGCATGAAGAGCGCGTGAACCGCTCAGCCCCAGTAGATCACGCACCAGGCTCCGATGGCTGGGCCAGGTGTTGCGCATGCCAGCACACCGACTCCCGCGACGTGCATTGTGTGTGCGCCGGGCGTGCGGATGGAAGAGGAATAGGGTAGGCCAAGCGATGACTTGTTCGAGAAAAATGAAAACCCTCACTCGAAGTTGGCGTCGGTTGGTGCATCCCGACTGCTTGGCTGGGGTCCGAAGGACGACGAACACTTTGGTTAGACACACTTGCTGATATGGCTAGGAGCCGGCCCCAATGGCGTTTGTGTTGTGTGTTCTTTTGACATCCCCCTCCCGCTTAGCCTCCCCCTCGAATCACGAGCTCATTCGTTCGGGGTAGTATGCCTCTCTTTTTGCAGCACGATAGTCGACTGTTAGCTCTCGGGAACGATATCCATCCATTACTGGGGACTCTGCGGGTGTGCCTCTCTTGTTATTCTTCTTCTTGTCTTTTGTACTGCGGAACGATAGCTGAGGTGTTTTCCACCTGTAGTTAACGTGTATAATGATGATGACGATGATGACACGGGCAATGGACTGCAAGCAACGGTTCTCGAAGACAAACAGTCGACGTAGGTCATCGGTAAGAGCAAGCTAAGTATTGCAACCGTACATCAG